AATATAAGTTACATTTTATTTACCTCTTCCTAGTAGTATTGTCCTTCCTATCAAGTCTTAGCCAAATCGAGTTGGTAAACCCCCTCTTTCCTCCAACACAAAAAGGGTATAACAAATCACTCGATTAAATTATGCAGCATTGTATAAACAAGTATACATGATTGTGATTATCAGTCACAACATGATAACAACATTAAACTTCAAATTCTCCAGATTGAAGTTATACTTGTAGTTCAAAGTTGATAACCATTAATATATTTTTAACAATATAGAAAACTGAAAATTATCCAATTACGAAGCTGAACAAACATAGCAATGTTAAAGGATTATTTGTTTCTTTGATTACCGTTTCATCGATATTGCCAGCAAAGAAATTCCAGCTATTCGACCAGGCTAAAAACATAACCAAATCAATCATTCAAATTCCCAAAACGTAGAAAAAAATCACAAATTTAATTGTAGAAGACGTAGTTTCAGGATAGAAGAGCAAATCTTGGAAGCAAAGCGTATCTCTATTAAATATAAAGTCTAGAAGAAAAATCATACAAAAATGTAGCTGAAAGAAAACTTGTCATTCAAAAATGTAAAGTAAAATGTGAAAAAGTGTGACCAAGGATAATAAAAAAAAATGAACTTTAATTTTTATTAGAGCAAATGATATGAGTGAAACTGACAAAACATAACAAAATACTTGAACCAAAAATATTACAAAGAGCTAAAAACAACTATAGGTTGTCATATCAATTCAGCATTGAAAAGTGGGACAATAGTTTTAGATAACACTTACAGAATAACGATATTCATTGATTAACAAAGTTAAGTTAAAAGCTTACATGAGTGTTGAAATTATAAGAAAATGAAGTCAAAAAAAGCTCCTTCAGCTCAAATACCTGAGGAAAACGAAGTAAGATGAAATAATGGGACTTAAGCATTGAAGACATTCCATAATGTTGCTATATGTTTTACGTTACAAACACAAATACCAATTATGCATTCTTGAATTTAGGGTGTGTTTGATATAGTTGATTTTCCATGGAAAATGGAAAATGTTTTC